AAAGCTTCACAGCAAGTGTCTGTCTGTGACCGCGATCTCACCTAGAGGAAGCCACAACCACGTGTCAGAGCAGGGAAGATGGCCACGGGTCGTGTTCGTCACCCGATGTGGAGTTCACGAATGGAAGCAAAATTTTGCGAACGCTGCTGTTCGCAAACCGAATTGTTCGTGAACAGAAGCGTTTGTGAACTGAGGTATTACTGTAATTCTACTCTACATACAGTATTAATTCTGGTCTATTAATTCTTGCAATATCTCTCAACAGTTATATTGAGTATATCTGAAATGCGTCTTATTCCCCCCTCCTAAACACTCAGGAACCTCCCAAATTTGTCTTAAATTGCCGTCCTAGATAATGCATTTCAGTTTCACGGATTTGTGTTGCCTTTTTATTCTCTCAGTGTGAAGGTATTGTTATTCTATTAAGAATAAGAACTATAGGTATTTGAGGAAGACCATTCCAAATTAAATACAATGCGTGAGTCTCAATGTTCAATAACACTGATGTGACTTGAAGCAGTTAATTTCTTTTAAACAGCTCTTTGGAATTTCTATCCCATCTTTCAAAAATGAATAGAAGGACATATATATGGTCGGCTTTTACTTCTCAAGTGATCAACTTTTATCTCAGGGATCATTTTTACATCAAGGTTGATTGATTTCTTATCACTAGGTGATACACAGTTGAATGTGTCCATAAAGAATGGAATGTTTGTTGGATGCTGACTCCTTCACTGATGCAAGTTACCACCTGACGCTGAAGTCATTGGCCTTAAATGTGAGTGAACCAGTTTTCACATGTAAAAATATCTGCTTTTCCTCTCCTAGCCCAAACAGCAGATTTTCAAAGCAAGACATTCCCATTTTTATACATAAATATTTATAAGTGTATAGGTCAACTGATCTGTCATGTGATACTCAGGGAATTTTGAAGTGGTAGCAGAGGCTTGGAGGGGTGGTAGTCCAAAACATCCAGAAAGAAGGTGGTTTGGGAAGTCGAGGCAGGGAAAATTTATGGCTAATGGCCTGAAATTTCTTCAGCGGATGAGTCTCTATTGAAGGGCCTCCTTAACGAAAGATTGCAGACCACTAAACTATTCTTTCATCAAGAATAGGAAAAATCCAAAGGTTGTATATACCTTGGCAGCTGTGAATTGGGTTTTTGCAAATTTGATCTTCTTTGGAGTCAGTAGACTGTCATGTATCCAAAGCTATATATCCACAACTGCTGTGCTGTGCTGTTCATACAGATAAATGTCATATATAGATGTATTGATCTCTGTGATGCTGTTTTAAAAGCAGCTGGATGTGTACACTTTAGAAGTCAAAAAGTGTGAGACCTTCATAAAATATTCTACAAAATACTGTCTTATAGAGTGTTCATATTCAGGAAGCCAACTAGTTGGGAGTCTGTTCCAAAATAATTCTTGGCAACCCCTTTAATTTTCCATCTTCTCACTTCCCAACCAAACAGTATCAAAGTTCACTGGGCGTGCACATGAGACCCTTTTTCTCCCTGGATGTGGGCTCCTATCATGATCTCTTGCATGTATACACACTTGTGTATGTATATGGGTGTGTGCTTGCATGAATATTTTTTTACTGAGATTTCTGATTCTCCTTGTGTGAGAATGGTGTCGGTTTGACTGTATTTAAATCATGAATTGGTTATAATATAAAGCAGTATTTTTCAAACTTGGCAACTTTAAGATGTGTGAACTTCAACTCCCAGCCAACTTCAATGCTGGCTGGAGCATTCTGGGAGTTGAAGTTCGGACATCTTAAAGTTGCCAAGTTTGAAAAGCACTGATATAAAGGATCATTTTTGGAGTGCTGTAGTAACTAACCTGCTAGTATCTTCAGATCAAGTGGCTACTAAAAGATTTTCCTGCCATGAAGATGTTATTTCTTATGAAGCAGCCACTTTCAAATGTTATAGCCCTTTGGTTCTTCAGCTGCCAATAAATAAGAGGAGTTCCTGCTGAAGTGGATGAAGCCCTTCTAAAAGCCAATATCAACAATCAAAGAGAAGTCTTGCGTCCTTGAGCCAGGGCCAAATCAGCTAAAATGCCCACATTTAGTTCCCAGAAGAGTGAACTAAAAGTGCAGATAGGCGCCAGTGGAAATTCTAGACTTCCTTTTATTGTGCATAATAGATTATGCAGCCTCCCGATCCCTCTGCACTTAATATGTCAGCTGGGGTTGCACTGGTAAAATCAGATGAAGCTAGAATTAGATTGTCCTGGAACTATGAAGCCCTGCCAGAGCATTCTGGGAGACAGGCCTTTATGAAAAGGAATTCTTTGGCTTCTGCTCCAGTGAACAGAAGCACCATGGTCTGCTGGCTGCTAATAACACTTGAATGCCCCCCCCCCAAAAAACCCTAAATAAAAATGTTTGACCTGTTGCAAAAGTGATGGCCACAAAAAGAAAGAATTAGTTTAACTCACAAGGCTCTCTGATGTAGAGACTAACATCAAGCCACAAAGTTTAAATGCATTCTTACCGGAATGGAGCTGGGGTCACTAGTGGGACTATTACTGAAAGTGTTACACATACGTGCATACATGTGTATATACACATATTTATCTTCATATATACCTTATTTATTTGTTGGATTTATAAACTATCTCACTCCA